GTGATTCTTTATCTTTTAAAATCCACGCCTCTTGCCAAGACCCTCGCATTACTTCTCTTACAACCCCATCTATAAATAATTAAACAACCACGGTGACATCACACATCCTTGTCTAAGGCCTACTTTTTCTGGAAAAAATTCCCTCTTTCCTACATACTCTAACTTGAAACCCACAAACCTCGTAAAAACTCTTCACTGCTTTCAGTAACCTACCTCCTAAAACCATACACTTGCAACATCTGCCACATTGCCCCCCTATCCACCCTGTTTATACGCCTTTTCCAAATCCATAAATGCCACAAAGACCTCTTTAGCCTTATCTAAATACTGTTTTACTTATATGTTTCACTGTAAAACACCTGGCCACACACCCCCTAACCTTTCCTAAAGCCTCCTTGTTCATCTCTATCCTATTCTCCGTCTTACTCTTAATTCTTTCAATTATAACTCTACCATACACTTTACCAGGTTACACTCAACAGACTTACCCCCTATAATTTTTGCACTCTCTTTTATCCCCTTTGCCTTTATACAAAGGAACTATGCATGCCTCTGCCAATCCCTAGGAAACCCTTTCCCTCTTCCATACATTTATTAAATAATTTGCACCAACCACTCCAAAACTATATCCCCACCTGCTTTTTAACATTTTTATCTTTATCCCCTCAATCCCGGCTGCCTTACCCCCTTTCATTTTACCTACTGCCCACGAACTTCCCCCACACCACAACGGGCTCTTCCTCACTCCTACAAGAGTTATTCCCCCTTGCCCTATACACGAAATCACAGCTTCCCTATCTTCATCAACATTTAACAATTCCTAAAAATTTATTCCTTCCATCTTCCCAATACCTCTAACTCTCCATTTAATAACTCTCCCTCCTATTTTTTAACTGACAAATCAATTTGTTCTCTAGGCTTTCTTAACTTGTTAATCTCACTCCAAAACTTTTTCTTATTTTCAACAAAATTTGTTGATAACATGTCACCCACCTCTCATTTGCTCTCTTTTTAACATTGCTTCACCACTCTCTTAACCTCTCTCTTTTCTCCATATACTCTTCCCTCCTTGCATCACTTCTACTTTGGAAAAACTTCTCAAAATGCTAACTTTTCTCCCTTACTACTCTCTTTACATCATCATTCCCACCAATCACTCCTCTTCCCTCCTGCCCCCCACTTCCCGTAACCACAAACTCTGCTAAACACTCTAACACTACATTTTTAAACCACCCCATACCTCTTCGACCCCATTGCCTATGCTCTCATAGCCCATCTATCCTCCAATAGCTGTTTATATCTTACCCAAAACTGCCTCCTCTTTTATTTTTTATAAACCTTCACCTCTCTCTTCCCTGATGCTTCTATTCTCCTTGTATCCCATCTACCTTTTACTCTCAGTGTAGCTACAACTAGAAAGTGATCTGATATATCTGTGGCCCTCTATAAACATTACATCCTGAAGTCTACTCAACATCTTTTATCTACCAATACATAATCCAACAAACTAAATGTCATTTCGCCCTACATCATATCGTGTATACTTTTTTTATCCTCTTTTTTTTAAAATATGTATTACTAATAACTAAACCCCTTTCTATACAAAGTTCAATCAAAGGGGTCCCATTATCATTTACACCTGGCACCCCAAACTTACCTACCACCCCCTCTCTAAAAGTTTCTCCTACTTAGCATTCAAGTCCCCTACCACAATTACTCTCTCACTTGGTTCCCAAAAGGGTCCTATACATTCACTTAACATCTCCCAAAATCTCTCTCTCTCCTCTGCATTCCTCTCTTCTCCAGGTGCATACACGCTTATTATGACCCACTTCTCGCATCCAACCTTTACTTTAATCCACATATATATATATATATATATATATAAAATATATATATATATATAAAAATATATATATGTCGTGCCGAAAAGGCAACTTGCGATCTTGGCTTAAAAAAGCAAACGCTCATCTTGCCCTATAAGACAAGCGAAAATTTGTGTATGCAATAATTTCGCCAAAATCATTCTGAACCAAACGAAAAAAATATATTTCACTGTGTTTGTTTAGTATTAAATTATTATAAACAAATCTAAAATATATTTAGTTGGGTTAGGCTAAAATAATTTGTTCTTGTTATAATAAGGTCAGGTAAATTTTCTAAGATTCTTTTGATGGAAAATTATAAATTTTTACATTAACATTAATGAAAAAAATATATCTTTAAACGTACAAGAGAAAATTTTAGAAAGGTCAGTCCGAACGTAACAGTTTGTTGTGAGATTATCCAGTAACTGTTATATACCTTATTACATATTAACATTTTACACAACATATTAGTATAGCAGTCGTCGTGGTTAATATCAAAATAGAGTGAAGTTCTGGTTATAAAATACGATTAAAAGGAATATAGTGGTGATAGTTCATATTAGACATGAATAGTGATATGATCTTAAGTTATAAATAGACTGGTTCCTTTTGATATATTGAACCATATAATAGTTAATTTGTGCTGAATTTACATTGAATTAAGGTGTTTTTCTAAAACAATATTTTTTAAAAAGGTTATATACAATAATCAAGTAGCATCTGGTATGGTTCCAGATTTTCTAGCCTTTAATATGCATGGAGTTCCTAAATAAGTTGAGTCGCACACGTGATATATTTAACATATTCTTGTTTCTGTTGTAGTTCTCTAGGAACAGTCGAGTGTTTTGTTGATAGTTATAGTAAGCACAGTGAATAATTTGTATGTTGAGTAAATTTAGACTTTTGAACTGGGAGTATATGTTGTCTGGAACCAGCTTGGTGATCATTCTGATAGCTAATTTTTGTTTGGTAAGATAAGATAAGATAAGATTTCTTTCGGATTTTTAACCCCGGAGGGTTAGCCACCCAGGATAACCCAAGAAAGTCAGTGCGTCATCGAGGACTGTCTAACTTATTTCCATTGTGGTCCTTAATCTTGTCCCCCAGGATGCGACCCACACCAGTCGACTAACACCCAGGTACCTATTTGCTGCTAGGTGAACAGGACAACAGGTGTAAGGAAACGTGTCGAAATGTTTCCACCCGCCGGGAATCGAACCCGGGCCCTCCGTGTGTGAAGCGGGAGCTTTAGCCACCAGTTTTAGGTAATTAGCCATTGTAGATCTCTATATGTAAGTGTCATAAATGAGGAAGGAATAGATTGGTGAATGGTAGAGTTACGTTGTGGTATATGCGTATTTTCAAACATTGCCTACAATTTTGGAAAAGTTCTTAGAAGAGTGTTGGATATGAATGTTGAATTCTGGATTCAGTTAAAGTATAATGAGTTAGTTACTCAATTACTGGATTAATTCATGCGAGTGTTATAATAAAGAACACTCAGTCTGTTACAGAGACTTAGCAGTCCAAGGAACTGGTTTCGAACTTTCAGTTAATATGATACATACCCTACGTATAAGTAATCTCATAAACATACAGTATAATTAAATTCACATTTGTCTTTCATAGACTTAACATATTCACTGGAAGTGTATAACTTAGAGTGTAGATGAATGGTTCAGAGAACCGACATGTTGATAAAATAGACACATGTGCAACTCTAGGGTATCTTTATTGAGGAAACGTTTCGTCCCTATGGACGCTTTTCTCTGTCTTCTTAATTTCAACTTTCTGCTCATTAATGTCTACATACATCCTTTTGAAGAATTGAGACACTTATGCAGCATATGGGAATCATTCTTGAAGAAACGTTTCGCCACACAGTGGCTTCATCAGTCCAATACAAAGCAGGAAGGTATAAGGAGAGGAGTAGTTTGAAGTAATCAGTCCCTCAGCCTGGAATCGATGTGTTCAGTCCATCACTCTTGTAGGAAGTACAGCTTAGGGCCGGAGAGGTGGCTTTATATACTGCAGTCAGGTGAGTCGAAGCAGGAGGAGGCGGGATCACAGTGGGACCTTCCACTGTGATCCAACCTTTGGACGAAGACGTACTTACACTAGTAGCAGGTCCTACTGTGATCCCGCCTCCTCCTGCTTCGACTCACCTGACTACAGTATATAAGCCACCTCTCCGGTCTTACGCTGTACTTCCTACAAGAGTGATGGACTGAACACATCGATTCCAGGCTGAGGGACTGATTACTTCAAACTACTCCTCTCCTTATACCTTCCTGCTTTGTATTGGACTGATGAAGCCACTGTGTGGCGAAACGTTTCTTCAGTAAAGATTCCCATATGTTGCATAAGTGTCTCAATTCTTCAACTTATCGGTTTTCAAAACCATTCATCACATACATCCTTTTACGTTAGTTGCGTGCCATCACAAAGCATTATTAGCTCACACAAGGAAGGTATAATCTGTTATTTTATTGAGTATAATACAGTAGTAGAAATAAATATAATAAATCATCAGTTGTGAGGTACCCAACCATCGTATTATTATTTTAAGTTATCCTGCAGGATTCAGGCAGCACCAGGGAAATGGGAGGCAATCAGATTCGATCCAATGAAAAGGAGGGTGGCTTCAAATCTTTGGATCTTAGTTGAGTTCAAGTTTAAATGTGTGGAATATTATCCTACAGTATGGGTTTGCAAGGTGCAAACCCATACTGTTATTTCCATTCTAGGAAGGTGCGTTGACACTGGTGAAGGGTTCTTAATCCTATTAATTAGAACTACATTTCCTTTTCTTGGATTGAATCTGACTCCCTTCCATTCCCCAAGACGCTGTATTACCCCTGTGAGCTTAGTGCTCTTTTATGAAATAAATAAACATGGAGTATGATAGGAAAAACCATCCAGTGTGATGGATGTATTAAGCTAACACAGTTCTTGTTGTAACCATGTTCAGTCATGTAGCTCAGAATAACCACACAGTATGGCATATGCAGTTTTAATAAATTAAAAATAGAATTAACCTAAAAGTTGAAAGTCATAAAAAAAATACCTTTATTGTATTCAGATGAGAATTTCCATTCACTGTGCTTCTTTTTTTCAATGGCTGGATAACAGGAGACAGCGTCCAGCAAATGTCTTGAAGATGGACCAGATAACGTCTGCATATTATTCGACATGAAGAATTTTAGCATGATGTGTATGGATTATACTGTTTTGAAGAGTCTTTACACAATAATGACAACTCATTATCCTGAACGACTTGGAGTATGTTTAGTCTTAAATGCTCCTTTAATTTTCTCTGCATGTTGGATTATTATTCGATCATGGTAAGATACTCTTTTGTTCCTAATTATTATTATTATTATTATTATTATTATTATTATTATTATTATTATTATTATTATTACATTCAGAGGGGAAGAGGTACACCTAAAAGGGGATCTTAAAGTGCCTGGGGGTAATGGAGGTCAGTTAGGTTTGGTCCGAAAAAAAGAGCAAATGGGTTTAATTCATTGGATCAAGAGCCACCACACCGGCATCTAGGCGCCTCCTTTGAGGGGCTGTCCTCAACAAGATTTGCGTTAGAGCCATATTTTATGACCGTTTGGTTTGTACATATCGATAACACCACATCCATACGTGTTGCAATGTGTTTAATAGTAACCAATATTTCACATAACTCTGCTGTGAAAATGCTGGTCGATTCTAGTTAATATTCTTGTTTTTGGACCCGTTGGTATACACCATTCCTCGCCTTGACCCCTCGAGGGGGGGGGGGTCCTTGGTGCTGGTAAGGGACTCTTGTCCATCCATTGAATCGAACCTGATTGCCTCCCTTTAGCTTTCTATGTGCTGTATGAAGCCTACAGGTTTATTGCTTCCCCTAAATATATTTATCATCCTTTCCTTGAATCCCACTTCACTTGTCGGCTGTACTCAGACCCAGGAGCTGGGTCCCAACAAGATACAACAGTAATGAACTATGTATTTGCAGAAGTTTTGTATCTAGTTACAGTAATAAGTGGTTGGTTTCACAGTGAGTTCAGCCACAAACATTATTAGTATTATATTTAGAGGCAAGCATTAAACAAGTAAAGATCATCATACGGGGCCTAGTGGAATGGGATGCGATCAGGTTTGATCCGAGGAAGGGAAGGGGGGGTTCAACTCCTTGTATGAAGAGCCCCTCATAACCATCAAGAAACTTCCCTTGCATCAGTAACATATTGAAGCATATTCAATATTTTACAGATAAACACAGTTCTACGGGACTGACAATGATACTTTGCTGATTAAGAAAGTTACAGTGATTATAAATGATTTACAGCAGACTCAATTATTATTATAATCAAAAAGAAGCGCTCAAGCACTGCAGTTTTAGTGACAGTGAATGTGTTTTCCATTGTGCAAAACGGACGATATTAAATAACAGCTTTTATTATTTTTCTTTTGTGGGAGAAGATAAACCCAGAGAGGTCAGAGAATTGGGGAATGCAAGGCAATCAGATTTGATCCAAGGAAAGGGAGAGAAGTTCAAAATATTTAGATCAAAAGCTTCTCACTGGCGTCAAGCCCATGAAAAGATTATTTTTGTAACTGTTTAAAATAGATTTATTCGTCAGCTTTTCATTTTAATCTAATTTTAATATAAGCAAGAAAAAGACATTTACACTGAACACCCACTCACAGATCAAGTGGGAAGGAAAAGAAAACATGAACCTTCCACTATACCTGGAGTTTACCTGGAGAGAGTTCCGGGGGTCAACGCCCCCGCGGCCCGGTCTGAGACCAGGCCTCCTGGTGGATCAGAGCCTGATCAACCAGGCTGTTGCTGCTGGCTGCACGCAATAAAAAAGCAATGTAAATACTATAATGATCCACGGCTACGCAATCTAACACATGCAACTAGAAGGACTGACAAAGTATACCGTGAATGTAGAACCCCAGACCTGCTCAGAACGTTCCAAGCTGCACTAACAAATGCAAGGAATAGAAAGCAAGAACTTAGGCAACAGGAATGGGAACAATTTGTTAGTGGATTAAATAGGTCTACCCCATTAAGTTTGGCTTGGAAAGGTATAAGTAAAATAACCAGGAAAAAGACTGGCAATGTTGCTCATCCCTTTCCTCTTGAAAAAGCAAATGACCTCATAAATGACTGGTCCAAAACATCCAGGCATGAAAACCTTCCATCTCATATTAGAAAAAAAAAACTTAGAGAATGCTTCTGGTTAAATGTTGAAACTGATTAATTTTATGAGCCAAAATATTGATGAGAGTGATTGCCTCTTCATCGAGTATGAATTAGATAACGCATTAACTAAAGTCGATCAACTGTTCCTGGAGAGGATGGTATACCTGGAGTTTACCTGGAGAGAGTTCCGGGGGTCAACGCCCCCGCAGCCCGGTCTGTGACCAGGCCTCCTGGTGGATCAGAGCCTGATCAACCAGGCTGTTACTGCTGGCTGCACGCAAACCAACGTACGAGCCACAGCCCGGCTGGTCAGGAACCGACTTTAGGGGTAATCTGACGTCAACACATGAACTTTTTTATTTTTCGTTCGATTTCTTTCATTTTTTTTGTACGTAAAGAAGCACCTTTCAATAGTAATGTGACCAAGTTTCAATAAGATAGCTCAAAAAACAACTGAGAAAAAAATTATTTACTAATAATCATACATATTGAACAGTAATTTCGACATGGGACTTGGAATGCTAAACTGTATTTCCAATGATTATCCTTTCTGTAATTTATCCTTTCTTCATTCTTAAAAAAAATAAAGTTTGTATGGTTTTGACATTCAGCCAAATATCTGACTTTTGCCCTCACAAAAATCAAAAACAAATTATGATATCTCAAAAAGCTAACCACTAGCTTGTAAAACAATCTTTCCTTTATGTTCTCTGTGAATTTCATTACATTCCTGCTATTATTAACGAATTTAGTGGCTCATATATGTGAATAACTTACTTCCGAGATAATCCGCGAAACAGCCGGACCACCGATTTTTTTTTTTTTTTTCGAGAAAATAACATTTTTCTCAGCAGTACGAGTGTATGTCATAGTTACCCATATCCGTTTTCTTTAATATAAGGACCCTGGAGGTGAAAGAAAGAGAATGGAAGCCCTTCTCTGAGAATGGGAATCTATTATTCCCGATGGAGCGCTCTGAGAATATGCCATATATTATTCATTCTGGAGTATTTACCATATTTCTTTGTTATTTATATTGTTTATTATGTCATATTAGATCAATTGTGATAGATAAATAAGCCGTAGAAGCTATAATAGCGTTATATTGAAGCATATTCCCCGGCCACCCCGAGACTGGAATTTTCCATGACGTCAGCAAAATGGTGTCGGGAGATTCCTGGTTGGTTGGAACTCTACGGATAAGTCCCACCCACTGTATTGTGATGCCAAATCGTCAATTATTATCTTAGAAAGAATAATACAATAAATACACAAAAAAAAAACGAAAAAAAAATTATAATTGACGACAGGTGAGCACACCTGCCGCGGGTGGTGACGTCACCCTAGGTGTTTTAAATGACCATAATTCCTTGTAGGAATGTCGTAGAACAATGAATCTGGTACCATTGTGTTGCCAGAGTGTTAAGCTATTTTTCTATAAGATTAACTCAATTTGTGAATTTTCGACAAAATTTTTCGTTCGCGCTGAGTAAGTGCTAGTGTCACCTTTAGGTGCTTGTCCAGTGCCAGCTTGAAGACTGCCAGGGGTCTGTTGGTAATCCCCCTTATGTATGCTGGGAGGCAGTTGAACAGTCTCGGGCCCCTGACACTTATTGTATGGTCTCTTAACGTGCTAGTGACACCCCTGCTTTTCATTGGGGGGATGTTGCATCGTCTGCCAAGTCTTTTGCTTTCGTAGTGAGTGATTTTCGTGTGCAAGTTCCTGATAATCCTTTGTTGGCACTGTATAATACCAGTTACATTGAGGGAGTTCTTTTTACTTCCTGGACCAATAGTCTCATTGTGCCTATCCTTAAGCCCTAACAGCCTGGTACATTTAGACCGATCTCCTTAACTAGTTGTCTTTGTAAAACTTTTGAAAGAATGATACTTAACAGACTGTACTACAGTATCAGACACCAACTTTCCCCCTACCTCTATGGGTTCATGAAAGGTAAAAGTGTGCAGAACTGTATTTCCACCTTTCTCACTGCACACATCTCTACTAATTTTACCACATTTCTTGATCTAAAATCTGCATTTGATATTGCGAACTGAACCGTTATACTACATGAACTAGCCAAAATGAATATTGGTGGTAGCTTACTCTGCTGGATAATAGGATACCTGTCCTTACCATGACTTTAGAAGCGAGTCTAAAGAAATGTCTTTAGGTACACCGCAGAGAGGAGTTCTTAGTCCCATGCTACTTAATATTCTGATTAATGTTCTCCTAAATGCTCTACCTGCCTCACCTAAACATATAGCTATAAGCTATGCTGATGATATCATGATCCATACAACAGGGCATAAGAAGACTGACTACCATTCTTAATGAAGTTCAGTCAATTTGTAACCTACTAAGCCTCATAATATCTTCCTCTAAAACAAAGATATTAACAAGCAAACGACATCCCCCACCCATCTACTTGCAGGGTGAAAACATTAGCTACATTAAAACTTACAGATATCTTGGTGTAGATGTACCCTTTAACAAATCCACTATACCACAATTAAATAAGAAATGCAAAGCTAGGCTAAATGCTCTCAAAGTTGTTGCTGGCTACAGCCCCAACTATGGTGCTAATGTGAGAATTGTGAGAATGATGTTAGGTCCTTAATTGATTATGCTGCTCCCTTCTATCTTGCACCAACTGAGCCCACGGAAGTCATTGAGATCATAAAGTCACTTAAAAATAACTCGGGGAATCTGTCTCATGTCCCACCATTACTGTACAAGCGAGCGGCCCATGTCCTTTCGCATGCTATTTCATTACTTTTTAACAAGTCAATAGAGACTAGCACCTTCCCGAAACTACTCAAGATGGCAAGGGTTACACCAATACATAAAGGTGGTGACCCTACAGACTTAAACAACTATAGGCCAGTATCTAACTTACCATTGCTATCCAAAATCTTTGAGGAACTCGTGCACAGGAGACTGTATTCATTTATAACGGCTCAAAACATACTCAACCCCTGCCAGTTTGGATTCAGGAAAAATAAAAGCACTAATGATGCAATCATAAAAATGCTAGATCTGCTTTACACAGCATTGGAAAATAAGGAATATCCACTAGGAATTTTATTGACCTAAGAAAAGCTTTTGACACAGTAAACCACGAAATCCTACTCCACAAACTTGACCACTACGGTATAAGAGGCCATGCGCTTGCTTATTTCAAATCTTACATTACTAATAGGTATCAGTACGTCACCATTAAAGACACAGCATCAGCAACACGGCCACTTGATACTGGAGTTCCGCAGGGAAGTGTCCTTGGTCCCCTGCTCTTCCTCATATACATCAATGACCTTCCAAACGTATCCCAACACCTGAAACCCATTCTCTTTGCTGATGACACGACTTATGTAAATCTCTCACCCTAATCTTGCCACCCTCAACACCATTGTGAATGAGGAGCTGATTAAAATATCGACTTGGATGACAGCCAATAAACTTACGCTTAACACTGACAAAACTTACTATATTATGTTTGGTAGCAGAGCAGGAGATGCACAAATTAACATTAAGATTGACAACACTCTAATTACCAGAAATAATGGGGAAAATTCCTAGGCTTATACCTTGACAACAACCTGAATTTCAGCACCCATATCCAGCATATAGCCAAAAAAGTATCCAAAACGGTTGGGATCCTCTCCAAGATACGATACTACGTGCCGCAAAATGCCCTTCTCACACTATACCACTCACTTATTTATCCATACCTCACCTATGCTATTTGTGCTTGGGGTCAACTGCAGCAACACACCTAAAGCCAATAATAACCCAACAAAAAGCTGCAGTAAGAATAATCACTAAATCCCATCCCTGGCAGCACACCCCCCCCACTCTTCAAAGATCTAAACTTACTCCCAGTTCAGTACATCCACACTTACTACTGTGCAATCTATATCTACAGGGCCTTAAACTCTAATATCAACCTTGACCTAAAACGCTTTCTTGATAGTTGTGACAGAACCCACAGGCATAACACCAGAAACAAACATCTCTACGACATTCCCCGTGTCCAACTAAACCTTTACAAAAATTCAATGTATGTCAAAGGCCCTAAAATCTGGAATACCCTACCTGAGAACTCTAGAACTGCAGACACCTTCATCACCTTCAAAACTACCATTAGAAAACATCTTATCTCCCTGATACACCCCGTCAACTAACTACACGAATACCACCTGGTAGTTCACACTTACACTCGCTCACTCATTTGACCATAAACAGAAATATTAATCTCAGTCTTGAGTGGTTTCGGGAAAGTGCTAGTTTCTAGTGACTTGTTAAAAAGTAATGTAATAGTATGCGAAAGGACATGGGCCGCTCGCTTGTACAATAATGGTGGGACGTGACACAGATTCCCTGAGTTATTTTTAAGTGACTTTATGATCGCAGTGACTTCCATGGGCTCAGTTGGTACAAGATAGAAGGAATTTGGGAAATTCCCATCTAGGTAGTCCCCGGCACGGGCATTGGTACGTGGATTTTACTGGCGAGATTAGATCCTATGTTTGAGACGAAGTCGTTTATCTTGTTAGCTGTATCAGTGGGATGCAGTGGTGTTTCATGAGGTTTAGTTAGAACAATATTCTTGTTTTTTTCAGTTTGTGGGTCCCCAGAATCTGGGAAAGTGTTTTCCAGGTCTTTTTTATATCTCCTCTTGTGTCAGTGAATCTGCTGGAGTAGTACAGTTGTTTGGCTTTCTTAATTAATTTGGTGAGAACTGTTGAATATTGTTTAAGAAAATCTTTGTGTATTAAGCCCTCTCTATATTGCTTTTCATATTGATGTTTCTTATCAATGGATTTCAGAATGCTGCTGGTTAGCCATGGGCAACCAAGCCGTTTATTCGTTATCTGTTTCGTTTTTATAGGACAATGTTGTATAGCCTAAGTATTTTGTTAAGAAAAATGTCTGTCCAATCGTCAATACCATTGGCATTGGAGAATTCTGTAGGCCAGTCAACAGTCTCTAGGTCAGCTGTGAAATTCCTTATTGAGGCCTCATCATGGAGTCTAAATGAAACTTTGTTGTATTTGAGTGGTGGCTTACTAATGTTTGTCAAGAGGAAGGTAGGGTAGTGGTCTGTAGTGCTGACTGTGATTATCCCTGATTTAAGGAGGGCTAGTATATTGGTCCATATGTTGTCTATTATGGTTGCACTTGTCTCAGTCAGCCTGGTTGGTTTAGTTATTGTGCATTGTTCATATTGTTGATGAAATCAGTTACAGTCTGATCATCTGGTAGGCCAAGGTTGATATGTTAGCCAAGAAGAGTACCCAGAAGGAGAATGTAGAATACAACTTTGGTATATCTGTGTCTAGCATTCGGAATAATATTAGGAGATAAGTAAATAATGAAAATGATTGTTATAGAAATGCAGTTAGAAGCCCAGTGGCCTGGTGGCTAAAGCTCCCGCTTCACACGGAGGGCCCGGGTTCGATTCCCAGCGGGTGGAAACATTTCGACACGTTTCCTTACACCTGTTGTCCTGTTCACCTAGCAGCAAATAGGTACCTGGGTGTTAGTCGACTGGTGTGGGTCGCATCCTGGGGGACAAGATTAAGGACCCCAATAGAAATAAGTTAGACTCCTCGATGACGCACTGACTTTCTTGGGTTATCCTGGGTGGCTAACCCTCCGGGGTTAAAAATTCGAACGAAATCTTATCTATAATCCACTATGATAACATGAACATAGATAAGTATGTTTATGGAGTAACTTGCAATGTGAACAGACTGATGTTGTAGTGGCCAGGCTTAGGCTTGGTTACAAGTACTTCTGGCAGTTTGAGAGACACACAGATGATGATCAAACTAAATGTAAATTATGTGATCAGGCATATGGTCACTGTCTTGAACACTATGTGCTTAATTGTCCACTTATTGAGGAATAAAGAGACAGACAGTATAATAACCTATGTGATTTGTCAAGATATCTTATTAATGAAAATAAGATACCAGATACCTGGAGTTTACCTGGAGAGAGTTCCGGAGGCCAACGCCCCCGCGGCCCGGTCTGTGACCAGGCCTCCTGGTGGATCAGAGCCTGATCAACCAGGCTGTTACTGTTGGCTGCACGGAAACCAACGTACGAGCCACAGCCCGGCTGGTCAGGAACCGACTTCAGGTGCTTGTCCAGTGCCAGCTTGAAGACTGCCAGGGGTCTGTTGGTAATCCCCCTTATGTATGCTGGGAGGCAGTTGAACAGTCTCGGGCCCCTGACACTTATTGTATAGTCTCAACGTGCTAGTGACACCCCTGCTTTTCATTGGGGGGATGTTGCATCGTCTGCCAAGTCTTTTGCTTTCGTAGTGAGTGATTTTCGTGTGCAAGTTCGGTACTAGTCCCTCTAGGATTTTCCAGGTGTATATAATCATGTATCTCTCCCGCCTGCGTTCCAGGGAATACAGGTTCAGGAACCTCAAGCGCTCCCAGTAATTGAGGTGTTTTATCTCCGTTATGCGCGCCGTGAAGGTTCTCTGTACATTTTCTAGGTCAGCAATTTCACCTGCCTTGAAAGGTGCTGTTAGTGTGCAGCAATATTCCAGCCTAGATAGAACAAGTGACCTGAAGAGTGTCATCATGGGCTTGGCATCCCTAGTTTTGAAGGTTCGCATTATCCATCCTGTCATTTTTCTAGCAGATGCGATTGATACAATGTTATGGTCCTTGAAGGTGAAATCCTCCGACATGATCACTCCCAGGTCTTTGACGTTGGTGTTTCGCTCTATTTTGTGGCCAGAATTTGTTTTGTACTCTGATGACGATTTAATTTCCTCGTTTTTGCCATATCTGAGTAATTGAAATTTCTCATCGTTAAACTTCATATTGTTTTCTGCAGCCCACTGAAAGATTTGGTTGATGTCCGCCTGGAGCCTTGCAGTGTCTGCAATGGAAAACACTGTCATGCAGATGCGGGTGTCATCTGCAAAGGAAGACACGGTGCTGTGGCTAAACAAATTTCCTAAATTTGTTTGTAACAGAAAAGTGAACTGTAGATATGTAGATATAAATCCATATGTACACCTGTTAACCCTTTTGGGGCCTAGTTCCTAGGCCTTTTATGTATCCATATGCTCTTGCGCTACCGTCCACAGGATGGATATGGGGTACACAATAAACTAGCCACTTCGGTGGCAAAATCTAATCTATAATCCACAAGATGGGTATGGGATGCATAATAAAGATATTAACTAACACTGAATTTTAACAGTAAATTATGGGGAGCAAATATATACATAAACTGTACTGTTTATACCTTGAGGGTGTTCCTGACTGCCTCAGGAATGGTAGTGTGAGCACATGGACAGCTTTGCTCATAGCTAGGGAAGCTCACTACTCATCCGGTTCTTGTCCTATGCACACTTATAGCCTTAATTTGCCTAGAAACAGTGTTAATATAATGTTGTTTCCTTGCAGGTTGGATGATAACACAGCAGGAAAAATCCAGTTTATAAAATCTAGAGACGACCTGTGCTTCTACTTAGATCCAGCGTTGTTGCCAATAAATTTTTAAGTTTTTGTTATTGTATATGTATATACATGTGTGTGTGTATATAACTCACCTGTTAAGAATGGGTTTGTTGTGTGTGTATGTACGTAGGTAAGAACATAAGAAAGGAGCAACAGGCCTACTGGCCTATGCGAGGCAGGTCCAGTATATAATTTGTAACCACAAACTACTACTAGCGACTAGCCGAGATATATATATATATATATAATATATATATATATATATATATATATATATATATATATATATATATATATATAATATATAAGATAAGATAAGATTTCGTTCGGATTTTTAACCCCGGAGGGTTAGCCACCCAGGATAACCCAAGAAAGTCAGTGCGTCATCGAGGACTGTCTAACTTATTTCCATTGGGGTCCTTAATCTTGTCCCCCAGGATGCGACCCACACCAGTCGACTAACACCCGGGTACCTATTTGCTGCTAGGTGAACAGGACAATAGGTGTAAGGAAACGTGTCGGAATTTCCACCCGCCGGGAATCGAACCCGGGCCCTCCGTGTGTGAAGCGGGAGCTTTAGCCACCAGACCACCGGGCCACCTATATGTCGTGCCGAATATGTAAAACTAGTCAATTTGCAAGAACTCATTTAAAATTAAGTCCTTTCTGAAATTTTCTCTTATACGTTTAAATATATATTTTTTTCATTAATGTTAATGTAAAAATTTATAATTTTGCACCAAAAGAATCTTAGAAAACTTACCTAACCTTATTATAACAAGAGCAATTTATTTTAGCATAACCCAACTAAATATATTTTAGATTTGTTTACAATAATTTAATACTAAACAAACACAGTGAAATATATTTTTTTCGTTAGGTTCAGAATGATTTTGGCGAAATTATTGCATACACAAATTTTCGCTTGTCCTATATGGCAAGATGAGGGTTGCTATTTAAGCCAAGATCGCAAGTTCTGCCTATTCGGCACGACATATATATATATATATATATATATATATATAAAATATATATATATATATATATATATATATATATATATATATATAATATATATTATATATAATATATATATATTATATATATATAATATATATATATATATATATATATATATATATATATATATATATATATATATAATGTCGTGCCGAATATGTAAAACTGGTCAGTTAGCAAGAACTCATTTAAAATTAAGTCCTTTCCAAAATTTTCTCTTATATGTTTAAAGATATATATTTTTAATTAATGTTAATGTAAAAATTTTTAATTTTGTACTAAAAGAAACTTAGAAAACTTACCTAAGCTTGTTATAACGAGAGCAATTTATTTTAGCCTAACCCAACTAAATATATCTTAGATTTTTTTACAGTAATTTAATACTAAACAAACACAATGAAATATATTTTTTTTCGTTAGGTTCAGAATGTTTGGGCAAAATTTTTGCATACACAAATTTTCGCTTGTCCTATATGGCAAATGACGTTGCTATTTAAGCCAAGATCGAAAGTTTCTGCCTATTCGGCACGCCCTAATATATATATATATATATATATATATATTTTAAAATATATATAAAATATATTATATATATATATATATATTATATATAATATATTATTAAATCAAAAAGAAGGCGCTAAGCCACAAGGCTATACACCCATTATAATATGCAAATATATATATAAAATATATATATATATATATATATATATATAAATATATATATATACACACATATATATATATATATATAATATATATATATATAAATATATATATATTATATATATATATATATTATATATATATATATAAAATACACGTATACACACACACACACACACACACACACACACACACACACACACACACACACACACACACACACACACACACACACACACACACACACACACACACAACAATCGTTACTAGAAAAATGGGTATGTTCCAGACGTCTCTATATTTAGCAAATAATTTTTTTTCTTATTGTATTGGGTAAGAATTACTACAGCATAATATGAATTATAGTGTAGAAGTTTGATTTGTTCAGTTTGAAGAGTATGAAAAGGGTTGATGTTTTTCTTCTAGGCTGAGGTGGATAGTTGTAGTTTTTATGGATGCAGAATTGTCACTTGATGGTTACACTAAGTATTAATGTTTTTTGAAATGTGTGTCTGGTCTGTTTAATTCGTTTTTTTTTTTCGTCGTCCTTATCTGTTTTCTGGCTTTTAACTGGGAACTGAGCTGTATCAGCAACTATTTTCGCAATTGGTTTTTCGTCATCCTCTTCTAACAGTTTAGTTACATCTTTACGCGTATCATTAAAGCCCTTTTCTCACACAATCTTTACTAGGGCGACATTTTCTTGGATCTGACTCTGCTGAGCAAAATCAGAGAAATTATTTACCACTGGAAGCCATAAATGATCCCATACTGCACTTAGGATTGTTTGGGTACTTCATCCCATACCTTTACATGCACAAGAATTTCCCCAATGTTAAATCTGTGCTAAAACTCTTGGCATATAAGTTTCAGAGCTGACATCTATGGCTGCGATGAATTTTCTTTTACCTTGTGTGCATAGTGGCACTTAAAATGTCTTGATAATGCTTCTATCCAATGGTTGTATTAACTCATAAGTGATGTCGCATTGTGGCATTAGAATTTCTATACTAGGGTATCCCTTTCGCTTTTCGCACTTACCTTGATATTATTATTATTCTTATACTGTAGGGAGGGGTGCTTAGGGAAAGCTATCTAGTTTTAAGGGAGGCTAAGAGACAAAGTAGCATTATTATTTTATTTAGTGGAGGGGGGGGGCTGGAGCCTTCAGTTGTGCCTCCTTGGCGCCGCCCCTGGGTAGAGAGGGGGGGCTGGAGCCTTCAGTTGTGACTCCTTGGCGCCGCCCCTGGGTAGAGGGGGGGCTGGAGCCTTCAGTTGTGCCTCCTTGGCGCCGCCCCTGGGTAGAGAGGGGGGGCTGGAGCCTTCAGTTGTGACTCCTTGGCGTCGCCCCTGGGTAGAGAGGGGGGGGCTGGAGCCTTCAGTTGTGCCTCCTTGGCGCCGCCCCTGGGTAGAGAGGGGGGCTGGAGCCTTCAGTTGTGACTCCTTGGCGCCGCCCCTGGGTAGAGAGGGGGGGCTGGAGCCTTCAGTTGTGACTCCTTGGCGCCGCCCCTGGGTAGAGAGGGGGGCTGGAGCCTTCAGTTGTGCCTCCTTGGCGCCGCCCCTGGGTAAGAGGGGGGGCTGGAGCCTTCAGTTGTGACTCCTTGGCGCCGCCCCTGGGTAGAGAGGGGGGGCTGGAGCCTTCAGTTGTGCCTCCTTGGCGCCGCCCCTGGGTAGAGAGGGGGGGCTGGAGCCTTCAGTTGTGCCTCCTTGGCGCCGCCCCTGGGTAGAGAGGGGGGGCTGGAGCCTTCAGTTGTGACTCCTTGGCGCCGCCCCT